GGTTCCGGGGTCGGGTCCCGCCGGCGCCCCGAGGGCTCGGCTCCCAATCCGAGCTCTTTCGCAACAGCTCCTGCCTAGCCCCGGGCTTCTCAGAGAGACGCGAGGCTCTGCAGGAAAGCTGCTTTCAGGAAGGGTTTTTTTCTGGTGTGTGGCGTGCCAGATATCGGAGGGTCCACGAGTGAACGCCGACCGGTGAAATGGGACTGACTCAGACTTGAGGGGTTTTTTCTCCCCCCCTTTTCTTCCTAGGCTCCTGAGTCATATAATAATTTAGAAAAACTTGCCTTTTCCTCTTCCATTCCTAAAAAGATTCACTTGATTATCAACGTGAATTTCTATTCTCCAATCTCTCTCATTTATTACAATAGCAACTTACTTTACGGAGTCCTTGGGATGGTGGACATTAAAATCCCAACAACCCTATTAGAATTATGATCGTCCCCATTTCACAGAGGAGGGAAAAGAAATGTAAAGGAACAAAGGTCATTGCGCCGGGGGGTATGGTAGAAAATGGCAAAGCCAGGATTCGAATTGCCTGTAGGCTCTCAAGATGCTCGTATGATTACGTGGCTGCATAGTATTTTTTTTAATGCCTTGACCTCCCCCTCCCCTTGTTCTTTGAACAAAGGAAGAGTTCACTACAAGTGAGACCTCCGTTGGCACCAGTTGAGAGCACTATGCTTGCTTCTTACTGCCCCTGATCCTTCATCACACTTGGAATTGTTTCTACGGCTTTGCAGTAAATGACTCATCCCAACAGGAGACACAGTTCAATAATAATAGTACAACTTGGCATTCTCACAGCACCTTTTTTTTTACTGACCAGTTTTGGGTGCTTCTGAGGCATTATCTCATTCATCTTCCCAGTAACTGAAATAAGCAAATGGTCTTTTTCATCCTGTAAGGAAACTAGGCACAGAAAGGATGAATGCCCTTGACCAAAGCTCCCGATGAGAATGCATTTTCATTGTTTTCCCCCCCTGTCTCCTGATTCCCCAAGGCCATACGTCTCTGGTGAAATGGAGACTGCAATTACTGCTATAATTTCCCTGTCCATCTGCATACACAGGAGGAAAAAATATCATCACTGTAATGTTTTCTCTTCTGGGTTCCTTTGTATTCTGCTCCTTCATTTCGCTCCTTATTACTTCTTGACATCTTATCTCCTGCCCAGTCTCTGGAAAAAAAAATTTTTTTTTTAAATCAATGAATAGCTAGTAGGAAATGTCCCACATTATCATCAGTGGCCACTGGCACAGCACTGTAAGAATATCAAGAGCTGTTGACTTTCTATTCTGCTATCATTACAGACTTAAAACTCTCCTAAATACCACAATGGCTTTATGGGTCTAGTGCTTGTTAGTTGAGGATCTGGAAGTTTCCACCCTACTGAGAAGTCTCTAAGTTGGCTGTGTGCTGTGCTGGGATTCTGTGAGCTCTGAATCTTTTGATATTGCAAGATGCATTCATAGAAGGCATATCCCAAAAAGCAAAGTAGATTCACTAATATATCTTTAAAAATCACAACCAAGGGTTAAGGCTGTAGTTCACTATAGAGTACTTATCTATATGCTCTAGGTTTAATCACCAGCTTCAGGGTGGGGGAGGGAAGAGAAGAAAAGGGGAAGACATTCACAGTACTCAAATACTAATCTAGAATCTCTGATTTGTTTTGCTTTTTGTTTGTTGAGACAGGGTCTCACTGTATAGCCCTGACTGGCCTGGAATTTGCTGTGTTGACCAGGGTGGCCTCTAAATCAAAGAGATTTGCCCTTCTCTGCCTCCAGAGTCCTGGAACTTAAAGTGTGCACCACCACTCCCTGAGTAATCTAGAATCTTAAAAATAATTCTATAATATGTCCCCAAGTTTAGGGAAAGCAGCAAACAAAAAACGTAGTGATATATACACAAAGTGAGACAGACTTTGGATTAGGGTAAATAATTGCTAATATGACCTTGAGTGCTAGTAAAAGCAGCTTCATGGGTTACAATGCTGAGTACTCTAATTTCTCACCTTTACTGGGCAAAATTTTTATTTTCTTAAAATCTTCCTAAAATGCCCTTTCTATGACCATTCTTTGTATCAAGTCTGTTTGATCTTGCTTGTGTCTCTGTGTGTCTTCCCTGTTGGAAGGTAGGAATCATGCCTTTTCCTATCTCTGAGTCTCCACAGCCTTGAGTCAGCCCTGGGATCATCAGTAGTTTAATTTTCTTCCTGATGCCTCAACCCCTCAATGGAGTTATTATCCAATAATATATCCCCTTTTTATCACCTTACACCTCTGCAGAACTGAGTCAGACCTAACTCATATCCACTGTCTGCTTTTTATTGCCTTTCTTCATATTTCCAGCCTGTGAGACTATTTGATATCTTATTTCATGAGTTTGTCTTTTGAGAAGAACCATCCTGTGACTATTGCTACCTCAAAAGAAGAGGAGGCTTAAAAGTCCTGAGGAAAGGGCCAGTGACTACAGGAACCCACGTGATGGAAGGAGAAACCAAGTCAAGGTTGCTGTCCCCTGACCTCCACAAGGCACTCTGACAGTCACACCTCCCCAAAATAAATAAATCTAAAAAAAAAAAAAAAAGTAAGTACTGAGGTAAACTAAAAATAAAACCACCCTTCCCATTCACAGAGGACAATCCTTGATCTTAAAGAACACAACAAAAAAACCCAAAATCAAAAACCCCAAACCTAAGCTTGCTTCCTAAAATGTTTGAAAGAAAAGAGAGCCAAGTGAAGTCCTGGAAAACAGCCAATTGGTGTGACGCCTCAGTGGTCAAGGGGACTCTCTGCCAGGCCCGAAGGCCTGGGTTGTAGCCCCACACCCACTCGGTGGAAGGTCAGAACCCGTGCCTCCAATCCCCCACCTTCTTATATGGGCTGTGGCACAAACACCCACTACCCCTCTGCCCCCGACACAATAAGTAAATAACAATAAAATGAAAAACAAATGCATTTGCTTCCCTTTAGAAACCTTAAAAAAAAACATTTATTTATTTTCATTTTACATGTGTGAGTATTGTGCCTGCCATGTGTGTAAATGTGCCGCATGCATGCTGTATCCATTGTGGCCAGAAGAGGGTGTCAGATGCTCTGAATTGGAGTTACAGACATCGTAAGCTGCCTTGTGGGTGCTGGGAATCTAACCCGGGTGCTCTTAGCCACCAAACCATCCCTCTAGCCCCTGCTTCCTGCTTTAAAGGGGATTTAAAAAAAAAGTTCTAGAAAGCAAAGAAAGAGATCATGACAGAGAAGTTCTTTTACTGTCAAGAAATACCTATTACTCACATATATGTCATTTATTAAACTCTAATAAGGGTGCCCGCCCGGGGTACTATAGCTCAGAGGTAGAGCCTTTGCCAGCCATTCATGAGAAGACCCTGGTCCTTCCAAAGTCTGCCAACAAAATTTGATACTATGTATTTTGTTACATCATTGGTTCAGACTCAAGAATATTGTAAGGTGGAATATATCAGGAAGGGTCCAAGAAGAAGGGCAAAACACATAGGACCTAAGGAGCCGAAAGTGCGGAGCCTGAAAGTCTGCATCAGTGAAGAACTGTAAGATCTGCAAGCCAATTTATTAGGGATTTCTTTCCTAAGAAGCAAACTGGTCAAGGATGGGCTTATTGTTCAGTTGATTCTGTGTTTTTTGTAGCATGCATGAAACCCTGGGTTCAAGCCTCAGCACCCAAAAAGCTGTTTGCAGTGGGGCATGCCTATAATTCCAACACCTGGAAGGTACAGGCAGGCGAATCAAGGGAGATGCGGGAGGGGACTCTGAATTCAGGAGTTCAGGTCATCCTTGGCTACACAGAGAATTCAACGGCAACCAGGGAAACTGGAGACCTTGTTTCATTTAAAAAAAAGGGGGGGGGGCGTTAAAAAGAACTGGATAACAGTTACAGATAAAATTATTTCACTCATTCAAAAACCATATAGAGTAAGCAGCTTTCCGATGTGCCAGCAGTCTTGCTGGGTGACAGGAATGAAAAGGCCTGGAGAGGAGGAGGCAGTGCTGGAGAGCTGCGGGCTCGTTAGGTAAGAGCGCCGGCTGCTTTTCCAGAGGACTTGAGTTCTGTTCTCAGCACCCCCGTGGCAGCTCACAACTGTCTGTAACTCCAGGGGACCCGGTGCCCTCTTCTGCCCTCTTCGGGTACCAGGCACATACGTGGCGCACCGACATACATGCAGATGAAATACTACATTAGGAGAAATAAAAATAAAAAGCAGGACATGGTGGTGCACACCTTCAAGCCAAGCTCTTAGAAAGCAGAGGCAGCAGGGTCTCTGATTTCAACAACAGCTTTGTCTACACAGCAAATTCTAGGGCAGCCAGGGCAATATAGTGAGGCCCTGTCTGGAAACAACACAAAGCTATACTTCAGTGGATGTATATTTTGGTGTTTTGAGTTGGGGTCTCACTCTGTAACTTTGACTGACTTTGAACTTGAAATGATCCTCTCTCCGTAGCCTCCTGAATGATGGGCGATTATCTTCAAAACTTGTGTGTGGTGACAGACTTCTAAATGCAGC